CTGGTGAGTGTCTGAGCATATATGCACACCACACTGCGAGTGTGGAAGTGCATAGGACAAGTTTTATGAGTAGTTTCTTTCTGTCCTTGTCTTATTGTTGTTGTTGTTTATTTGGGATTTTTATCTGTTTGTTTGTTCATTTTGTTTTTGGTTTTGGAGAAAGGGGTTTCCCTTTGTCGCCTTGGCTGTCCTGGAAATCACTCTGGTCTTGAACTCACAGAGAGCTGCCTGCCTCTGCCTCTGAGTGTTGAAATTAAAGGTGTGTGCTCCCTGCCACCCGGCTCTTCACCCTTCTTTTGAGGCAGGGTCTCTCTTACTTCTGTTGCTAGCTGACTAGAGGTCTTCCAGGAGATTTGTGCTGTCTCTATCTCCCATCTCCCTGTAGTAGTACTGGGATTATAGAAGCATACCACCACATCTGGCTTTTAATTTTTATTTATCCTTTGAAATTTTCATGCATGCCTACAATGTTTCCTTATTGTTCATTCTACTCTTCCAGCTTTCCTCAGGACTACCATCAGTCACCCTTCCAAACTCATGTTATTCATTTAAAACTGTTTTCGTTATTTGTTTCTTGTTTCAACCTACTGGATTCATTTGGTCCATTTAGCTTTTTAGGTGGCTTCTGACATCAAACTCTGGTTGTCAGGATTGTGTAGCAAATGCTTTTGCCCACAAAACCCTCTCCCAGGTTCCATTTTGAAAAGTTTTTAATGAAGTCAAGACGCTACTTGTGTATTGGGTTAGGAGACACTAGGCAGAGAACTACATGCTTGAGTTAGGGATTTTAGAGATGATCAGTAAGTCAAGAGTATGATGATAGGAGCCTGGCTGCTTTGTTCTAATGTGAAAATGAGAGTGAATGGCATCCAGTGTGTTATCCCTGTGAGCACTGAAGTGAGCAAGGAAGACAGTGAAGAGTAACAAAAGGAAAATGATGGGGGAGGGGGACAGCGGGAGGGTGTGTGCCTGTGCTGAAATGGTCAGAGAATGTGAAACAGAGTTCACTAGACACCGAGGATGTAGCAAACTCTGTTATCATAAACCTCCACGGAGCTGGTTTGCAAGGATGCAAAGAGCAGGCTTTGTCCGGGAACCAGAGAACGTGCTGGGCCTGCAGGTGCACAGGCGGCAGACACACACTACCCTCCTTTGCCTCTGACTGCATCCGGGATGGTTTCAACAGACCCAGCTAGATTTAGCCTAGAGTAAGAAAGCAATGGAGCCATTCCCAGATGGTGGCGAGGATGCAGACAGGTTTGCTGTTGACTACTTTCCCGATAGATGGCAGAAGCAAAAGTACAGGTCAGAAGCAGGGAGGTACAGAATAGGGAGGATGACTAACCAGGGACCAGGTGAAAGGACAGAAAATTTGTATAATAACCCAGATGTTAAGCTTGACAGCCCTGGGGCTCTCTTTTTGAAAGATTCAACCCTACTGTTTAGTGTGAAAGCAATATGCAAAGGAATGGATATGGTTATACTCCAGTGAAGTTTTACTTACAAAGGCAAGTACTGAACATGCTGGACATGGGCAATAAATTGAACCTGTTACAGAGTTTGTGCTTCTGGTGATGAGTGAGATAAGGAGTGAAATTTTGGGTTAAAATGTGAGTGTTGGGCTGGAGAGATGGCTCAGAGGTTAGGAACAGTGACTGTCTTCCAGAGGACCTGGGTTCAAATCCTATCACTCACAGGACAGCTCCAAGATCTGACACCCTCACACACACTTCAACAACAACATGAGTGTTTGGGGCCGAGAGAGAAGGCTTAGTTGGTAAAGTATTGTCTGATGTACAAGGATCGGACTATTTATTGAGTAGCATAGAAAAGCTGTAAGAGCCAGGCACGTTGTCTTGGTAACTCCAGAACAGTGGCCTCACTGGCCAGCCAGGCTAGTCAATCAGCGAGGCTCTAAGTGATCCAAAGAAAAAAAAAGAAAAAGAAAAAAGAAAAAGTTAGGGAACAACAGAGGGAGGTACCAGAAGTGAATCTCTGGCTTGTGCACACACGTGCACATGTGTACACACACATGCTCCCCTGCCCACTCTCCACAAGGGAAGACAGTTAAGATGGAAAGGGAGAAGCTGCCAAGTGTGCTGCCTAGGTGTGGTCTCCCAGAATGAGAAGAGCCCTGGCATGAACCTGCAGAAAGGGGAAGAGAGCAGTTTGGGTGATGGTATCTCAAGTGTCAGATAGAAGGTCCAGATATACACGCTTGGGAACACCTGATGCCAGGCTGCTCCGCATTGTGATTGGCAGGATTCACTTGGTGGAGAAGGGCCATGTAGAAACATTTTAGGTTTTTTGTTTTTTTTGTTTATTTTCAAGACAGGGTTTCTCTGTAGCTTTGGAGCTTGTCTTGGAACTAGCTCTTATAGACCAGGCTGGCCTTAAACTCACAGAGATTCATCTGCGTCTGCCTCCCAAGTGCTGGGTTTAAAGGCATGCGCCACCACTGCCCAGCTACATTTTAGGTTTTTGAGAAAGAACATGCAAGCATCCTTAAATATGGGAATAGGCAAGGCTTTCTCACTCAGCTGCTGACTCGATCCCAAAACACTATCATGACGTGGGCTCATTGAGGTTTCCCAGTGTATAATAAAATATGAATGACTCTACAGCTTCCAGCCAATCAGGCTGCTACAAATCAAATTGTGCCACTACCTGCGTGGTATGGGGATTGACCCGACTGGGGAGGCGGGGGATGAAAAAAGGACAGTGTGTACAGAAAAGCTGGGATAAGCGGCTGGTGAGCTCTGGTAGAGAAGACACACTGGTAGTACATAGGCTCAGGTTGTCCTTTAGATACAGCTGAATTAGGAAGCAGGTTGGTTAACTCTGTAAGGTTCTCAATAGGGAAGCAGTCTCAGACTGAAGTCATTCTGGAGGAAGAAGCTGTGGTTGGTACTCTCTGCACACATTGTCAACATCCAACAAGATCCACACTTGACCAGGCAAAGCCTTGTTCTTTCCATGGGTCTGAGGCATTGGGTCATTAACAAGACTCTTCCCATTCCACGAGTGCTTATTCATACAGGGGGTCATGTGCTCCCCACAAAATTACCTATTTGAGCAACAGGTGTTTGTGTCCGACACACTTGGAGCCACTGATAAGTCATTCATTGAGACAGCACAGTGAACTCAGTGTGCAGAATCAGCTTTAAAATGCCTCTGAGCTGAAGCCACTGCAGCCATGGTAAATGTTGAATAAATACTGTCTGTATATAGATTCATGGTACTCAGGTAAGAACTCAACTGAACTTTTCATCCCCCCCCCGCCCCCTGCCTTCTTTTTGAGGCAGGGTTTTGCTCTATAGTCCCAGCTAGCCTTTAAGTCACAGCAATCCTGTCTCGGCCTCCTGAGTGCTGGGATTACAGGCACGAATCATCACACCCATGTTGTTTTCTGCTCCTCACCACTGATTGTACCCCACCAAACTGGAACAAACAGTATCTGTGTTGTTATTATTATTGTTTTTACTTATGTTATCTTAAAAATTCTCCAAGTGCATCAATTCTTTACTGATAATAAACCAGGCTGTACTTTACAGAGTGATATGAACTCTTTCATACCTCTGGAGTATAATTTGGTATGTTTTCTGAGCAACCAGAAGATACTAATATGTTCCTTATGGTAAATTGGGCCCTGGGATACTAATTTATTGCTCATAACTTATGAGATCCCTGTTGCACTAGAGAAAAAAAGGGTAGGCGTGTCTCTGAAGAGAATGTTTCCTTTGCTCTCCACTAAAAGAAAAACAAAAGAGTAATTTAATCTAATCGAATCATATTAATGTGCGGCTTGGTTCCTTTCTTTTGCTCTGATAAAATATTCTGACACAGCCAGGGAGGGTGGTGCTTGCCTTTAATTCCCGTACTCGGGAGGCAGAAGTAGGTGGATCTCTGTGAGTTGAAGGCTAGCTTGGTCTGCATAGCCAGTGTGTCAGTCCAGCCCAGGCTGCAGAGTGACATGCTGTCAAACAAACAGACAAAGGAAACAATTGCAAGACAGACAAAAAACAACTTAGGAGAGAAGAGATTTATTTTGAACTCACAATTCCTGGTTACAGTCCAGCAAAGCCGGGAAGGGAGGCTGTCGTAGCTTAACACAGCTGGGCGAATCACGTTCACACAGTTAGTTCAAAGATGAAGAGCAGGGAAAAAGAACTGTATTGCTGTTTGTTCTCAGATCATTTTCTTCACTCTTACACAACCGAGCACCCAAGCACAAAGAAAAGGACTGCCCAAAGTGGGCGGGATCTTCCCATATCAATGAATGTAATCAGGAAAATCCCTATGGCTATACTCATGGACCAAGTTTATCTAGACAGTCTAGCATGGAGCCTCCCTTCCCTTCTCAGGTGATTCTAGATTTTGTCAAGGTGACAAAACTTTACAGTCCAGTGTCCAAACCAAGGCTTTTCCTTCCTGCAACCTATTCTTGCCTGACAGGAAAAGCCTATTGTCCTGAGAGCCATTTTGCAGTGGACTGGCTAAAACTCGACCTTCCTTGAGCAACTACTGTGAACAGAATTTGGGCATTCCACTGCTGGAGAAGAGAACTAACCGAGTCTTCGCGCTGTGCTGTGGTTTTCTTACGTTTGCGTTTTCCTTGCATAGAATGCGAATATTCACGTACGTGTAAATATGTAAGGCTTGCATTCAGATCAGTAAAAACCAACAATTTCCAAAGAATGCTCTAATTAAGTAATTACAAATTATATAAATAATGGCACTTCATGATGGCTGAAGACTTTTCACCATTCAGCCTTATAATGCTAATGTTATAGGTACTGACCAAATTACCTCTCAACGACAGCCTGGCGAGGTGGCTAACACTGTGCTATCCTCGATAAATAAATTCCCCAACAGCTTGTAAGTGGCAGGGTTGAGTTTTCTTTTTCTTTTTTTTTTCTTTATTTATATATTTATTTATTAAAGATTTCTGTCTCTTCCCCTCCGCCGCCTCCCATTTCCCTCCCCCTCCCCCAACCAAGTCCCCCACCCTCGTCAGCCCGAAGAGCAATCAGGATTCCCTGCCCTGTGGGAAGTCCAAGGACCACCCACCTCCATCCAGGTCTAGTAAGGTGAGCATCCAAACTGCCTAAATGGATGGAAATAGAAAACACTATCCTGAGTGAGGTAAGCCAGACCCAAAAAGAGGAACATGGGATGTACTCACTCATATTTGGTTTCTAGCCATAAATAAAGGGCATTGAGCCTATAATTCGCGATCTTAGAGAAGCTAAATAAGAAGGAGAACCCCCCAAAAAAAACATATAGGCATCCGGCTGAATATTAACCTTCATCAGGCGATGAAAGGAGACAGAGACAGAGACCCACATTGGAGCACCGGACTGAAATCTCAAGGTCCAAATCAGGAGCAGAAGGAGAGAGAGCATGAGCAAGGAACTCAGGACCGCGAGGGGCGCACCCACACACTGAGGGTTGAGTTTTAAAACTAGGTCTGTCTGAGTGCAAAGCCCTTGGTCTTCATCTCGATCTCATTATGCTTCAGAAACACACACTTTAAACTGGGTAGAATCGATAAGGAAAAGCCGGTTATTGTAGGATATGGATTTTTGCCACTCTTGACAGACAGAAGATGTGACATTTCAACTGCTGGCAATAGGTCTTCGAGAGTTCTTCTTCAAAATGCAAATCTGTACTCCCAGGAGGATAACATATTTTTTTAAAAAAATAAACATTCCAGGCTCTTAACTTACATGTCCTTGTAAAACCTTAAAGGAATGGGTTGAGCGACAGGTAAGCGTTGAGATGGGTAAGGAAGAGCAGGTGTGGGAGAAGAGAGAGGCAACCCAGAGTGAAAGAGAGGGAGAAAATTCACTTTGAGGAAACAGGCATCACCAAAGAATGGGACCCCCCACAGGGGGCCCTTCCACATGGGCACAGGAAATGAAAAATATCCAATGCACAATTTACAACCACGTAATTTTGTATAAGGCCAGTATTACTGTCTTCACACAATTTGGTCATCTATCATTAGCAACTGAGCAAATTATCAAATATAAATTAACAAGTAAAAATAACAACAACAAAAAATACACTCTTTGCTCTAAGCCATGGCTGAGGTGCCATTTCCATTGTCTAGAAGTTCCAAAACAAAGAAGCGCTTCCCTCTTCTTTTACATCCATTTGCACCACCAGTCTTTCCATAATGTTTATGCTTTACCCATGATCATCAGCAACACGGCTCTAAATGAGTGTTATAACCAGACCGGGGATGCTAATACAACCGATTGCTAATTAGTTCTGTTGCTCCTTTTCATCACAATTATGCCCCATGCTAGCATAATACTTGTCGATATATGACTCACTTACAGAATTTAACTGTGATGTTAGTTAAATACTCAGTTTCCACCCTCGTAATGCTAATAATTAGAAGGATGATGACTGTAATAATAATTAGCTCAAGTGTTCTAAGGGTTAGAGATGGGAGTCTAAAAATGAGATCTGCGTTTATCCTACATCAATAATTTTTGCAACGAATTTGCCCAATTTTCAAATCAAAAATAGATTCCTCTGTCAGCAAAGCATCAGTCTTCTATCTGAAAATCAAGCGCAGCTTGTTCATCGTCAGAAACCAGAGAGGCTCTGAAATCAGAAACTTAGCTGCCAATTTTGTTGATGATGCATAAGACGAAACCCGGTACAGCTGGCTCTTCTCTCCTATGCAAGCTCTGCAGTACTGACATTCGTGAAAAATCTGTTTGTTTTTTGTTTCAGGAAATTAAATAGCTATGACTAAAATGAAGCAGAGGGAAGAGATATATCTGGGTAATAACCAGGTGCCATTTTTATTTTTAAATGTATTCATTTTTCTTGTAGCGTCACTTGATTAGCCGAGACACTACTTTAGCGTGACCAGTTGGAACGAATGACCTCAAAGAATATGGGTGAAGGTCCTGCCACAGACAAGCCGGAGGACACCGTTTCCGATAGATAAGTGGAGAACAAAATACTTGACTTGTAACTTAGCCTCCGTCATGGATAAATCCATACCAAGTCCTCAGTGACTACTCCTTCTGACGGGGTGTCACATTTCACGTTTTTAAAAATAGCTTCTTTTGCTGACATGTAAACTGCTTTTACAGAGTGAGCACTTGATGTGATTTGCACCTAAGCTTAAAGCCTTCGTTTTACAGAAATACTCCTACTTCCAAATATTACCCTAAAAATGAAGAAACAAGAGACTAAATACTGCAACATCAACTTAATGACATGTGGCTACATTTTAAATTTTTAAATCTAATAGTGAACCAGAAACATCAATTTTCTTGTCTTCTTGCAAGCCTTAAATACACTGTGCCTAGTTCAGGGTTAAGGAGGGGGTTGGATATATGCAGTAACTGCCAGCACTCTGGATCTTTTTAAGGTGATCATAAAGACTAGTTTTTTTTTCTTCAGTGTGTGTATGCACTTGTGTGTGTGTGTGTGTGTGTGTGTGTGTGTTGTATTCACACATGTCTGGGATGAACTGGCCCACACTTGCCTGTGTGGCATCACAGGGAAATGTTGAGTGCACACTAGTTTTTGAGACAAGGTGTCTCCCTAACCCTGGAGCTTGCTATTCTAATTAGACCACCTCTCTGGCCAGAGAGTCCTGAGGGTCCTCCGGTCCCTAACCATCCACAACACTGGCATTACAGACCATGCCACTACACCCAGCTGTGTATGTGAGAGCTGAGGATACATCCGAACCTCAGGTCTTCATGTTTGCAGAACAAACACTTCACCAGCTGAGCCTCTCCCTACAACCACCCTCCTCAAGGTTTTAAAGAGACAAATAGAGAAGGGAAAGAAAGGAACATTTTTTTTGTTGTTGTTGTGTTTTGGACAAAGATTCACTGTTTATCATCTCGGTTAGCCTGGAACTTTCAGATTCCTTTCCTTCTGCATCCTAAGTGTTGAGGTAACAGGAGGGTCCCATTATGCCTGGCCTGGCATACTTTTTTTTTTTTAAGATTTATTTATTTATTATGTACACAGTGTTCAGCCTTCATGTATGCCCTCAGGCCAGAAGAGCGCACCAGATCTCATTACAGATAGTTGTGAGCCACCATATGGTTGCTGGGAATTGAACTCAGGACCTAAGGAAGAGCAGACAGTGCTCTTAACCTCTGAGCCATCTCTCCAGCCCCTGGCATACTTTTAATAGCTAGAAAATAGATGGGTTAAAGCTTTTCTATTTATATACTTATTAATTTATTTATTGTTGGTAGTCTGGATTGAACCTAAGGGCCTCACATATATTAGGAAAGTACTCTGCCTCTGGATCACATACCTAGTCCCCAGTCAGCTCTTTTTTCTTTTATTCTTCATCAAGAACAACAAGTTAGTTCGGGTGGTAATCTCTATGGTAGAATATATACTTCCCATATGAGAGACCCTAGATTAGACAGGCATAGTGGTGCACACCTTTAATCCTAGCAGTTAGGAGGCGAGGCAGGCTGATCTATTTCGGGGCCAGCCTGGTCAATATAGCAAACTCCTCAACACCAGGACTATGTAGAGAGACCCTGTCTCAAAACACTAAAATAAATAAATAAATAAATAAATAAATAAATAGCCTTCAGTTCTATCCATAAAATCACTAAAATAAATAAATAAAAAATTAAAAAAACAAGCATTGTAAGAAATTTGAAAGGCAGTTCTATCATGGAAACAAGATATACTTAAAACACTAAACACAATTTGAAGAAAAAGATATTAGATAAACAGAAAGAAATACAAATATATTTATTAAACACGCAATCATATGTGAAATATATATGAATAATATATATGAAAAGATATTATAGTCCTGTAAAAAGAAAAATATCATAAGTGTAACAATGAATGAGAAGAATTTTTGAAAATATATACAATGTAAGTTAAAAAACGATATGAAACACTAATATTTCTAGAAACATTAATTACAGCTACCAAAATGTAGTAGTAACCTGTGTTCACCAACAGATGAGTGAAAAAACCTGGTGTACACACAGTGAAATGTTCATTCTAAAAGGGAAGCAAAGTCTGCTAAGTTTTATAATATGGATGAAAACTGAAATCATTATACTAACTGAATTAAAGTTGCAAAAGTATATATATATAGTAGGATTTCATTGTTTTAAAAGTTATTAATTATGTGTGTATACATGTGTGTATGTGTGTACATATGAATGCAGTGCCCAGGGAGGCTATAAACAATCTCCCTGGAGCCAGAGTTACAGACAGTTGTAAGCTACCTGATGTAGGTGCCAGGAACTGAACTCAGTATGAGTTTTCCGTATGAAAGAGCTCCTCCCTGCTGAGCCAGTTCTCCAGTACTGGATTTTATCACTTGAGGTATATTCACATCTTAAATGATTCCATTGAATCCCTTCAGCAAGCAGGGGAACATAGATGCAGCAAAATTACTCTCGGTCTATGGCTTTGGACCATTTGAATTTTGAGAGTTTGAATATGTCACCTGTAAAAACAAAATTAAATTACCATTTTGAAAACGTGGGGCCGTTTAAAATAGCCTTCATTATTTTCATCTCAAGTCTTACTTTTCTCTCTATTGTAAAACCAGTGTGAGATCTTCTCTGTATTGCTAGAATTCTGGTTTAATTCCGTAAGGCTTAAGAAATGAAATCTGTTATTCCCGCTGGAACAGGAACAGTTGTCAGCGTGTGTGGGCAGCAGCGGTGAAGGGCTTTTGAAATATAAGGAATGTAAACCAAATAGTGGAGTCGACTGTATTATAAAGTAATGGTTGATACAGGAGACATTTTACATCAATCACAATTATAAAAACATATGATAGAAATGGGGGCAAGGTCTGGACACAGTCTCCTAGACCACTCTGCCATCCTGATTTGGGGACAAGACTCTGTAAACCAGTTTGCGCCATCCAACAACAGACCAAGGATCTGCACAGACAGAGGAAAGAGCCCATCGTATGGCTATTCAAACTGTGCTTGGATGGGAAGGAGAGGCTGGGCATGTATCATGGTCTTTATTTCTCGACTATGTACTTAGAAACAACTTTCATTGTGTAGAGAGAAAATCTGGGCGTGGACTTTAAAAAGTTATGAAAAATCTCAAAGTAACTTTCAGGGCTGGGGAAATTGCTTGTTTGGAAAGTGCTTGCTTGCTGTGCGAGCATAAGGATCTGAGTTCAATCCCCACATTCAAAACAACAGCCAGGATTGATGGTGGGTTCTTGACACTGCCTCAAAAACAGGGTGGACTGGTCCTGAGGATTGTGAGCTAAGGTTGACCTTCACCTCCCCACCCCCCATACTTGCATACACACATGAATATCCATGTGGAAAAGATAACTTTCAGACAATTGAGTGGGCGTGGTAGAAACCAGGTCCTGTGTGGCAAGCCATGTCTGTCTGAAGGCTGTCCTGTTCTCTGTCATGCCGTCCTGTTATCATTTCCCTTCATCTAGACTAATCTAAAACCAGAAAGTTGGGATGGAATTATAAAATTATCCAAGATGTGTAGCTCACAAACCTAAATGATCATTATATGAAGAGTTACTTTTCCTAACAAAAACCCACAGCTTTTCAGGGACATCACAGCTCCTACTGTGGGGCCTTCTGTCTTAGTTTTGAAAATTTGGGTAATAGTTAAATGGGTAAGTCTTTAAATGGAATCTTCTTAGTGTGACAAATGACTTCAGTGACCTTTCTTAACTGAGGAAAAAATGGCATTTTAAATGGATCTACAAGAAGCCCAAGCCAATAGCTCCGCACACCGAAAACTCTAGATACAGGGACAGCTTCTGCAGCTCCTCAAGAGCATAAGCTATAGAGATATTTATCCATAATTTGTTTTGTTTTGTATTGTTTCTTTCTTTTTCTTTTCCTTTTTTTTTGAGTCTTGTATACGTAGCTCAGACTAGCCTTGGACTTCAGCCTCACTAGTGCTTACATTTCAGTTGTGTATCAACATCTGCTTTTACCTTACTTTTCTTTATCATCCATTTAACCACATGCACACACATATATGATGTATATATATATGTATATACAGAGAAAGAGAGAGACAGAGAAGGGCAGGCAGACATACATACACATATACACATACACACTACATTCACAATAAAGATAAATAATAGTTTATAAAGCAAGTTCTTGCTCTATAGCCCAGGCTGCCCTCAAACTCACTGTATAATCTAGCCCGGTCCTGAATTTTCTAGGTACTGTAATTTAGCCTTGAACTCAGAACAATTCTCCTGTCTCAGCGCTAGGGTTAGAGGTGCACAAAATTACACTCAGCTTCAAGGGCAAATGGCTGCATTTTCATAGATAATTCACATTAATGAAGAGAAGCTGGACGTGGTGATGCAGGTCTTTAATTCCATTTAATCCCCGCTCTAGGGAGGCAGAGCCCAAAGGATCTCTGAGTTTGAGACCAGCCTGTTCTACATAGTTAAATTCAAGGCTATCTAGGGTTATATGGGGAGGGGGAGAGGGAGAGAGAGAGAGAGAGAGAGAGAGAGAGAGAGAGAGAGAGAGAGAGAGAGAGAGAGAGAGAAGGAAGAGAGATTTCTCCACATATAACACAATCTGCACGAGCCTATACTAAATGGGGATAACTGGATAGATTTTTGTGCAGACGTTTGCTGCCTCCCACTCTGCTCATCCTTCTGTTTCTGAGCCTTCCCAGATCCATACAGGTCTGTAAGGAACAGCATCCATTACGCTAACCTTTTCAAGTGACAGCACTTTCTTCCTACACACGATACGGAAACCACGGGACTATTAAGGCGTGTGAATGTGTGTGTGTGTGTGTGTGTGTACATGTATGTGCTTTACAGAGTGGGTAGAGCTTCATTTTTATTTTCCTGTTTACTTCATTTTCCCGTATGGACTTAGCCTGGTTCTTTAAGGATCTGAATTTATTGATTGCTTGACCCAATGTTTTGTTTCAGGTTATTACAAAATATTATGCAGTCACAGGTACTGTAACTATCTGGGGAATAATCAGCGTTGCATAGAAAATAAAATACAAGGAATAGAAAGGAGGTGATCTGTTTGAGGTAGTGAAGCAAGATAAGCCAGTTTAAATAAGAAAGTTTTATGCTTTATGATACACTATTGTGCTTGCAAACTATAGAATGCTGCTGTATGATGAGTTATAATAAATATATTTTTCTTAGAATTAATAATTTTTCTATTCCTTCTACTATATTTTTTTAATTCATAATGTGGCTAAATTCCAATTTCCCAGTTATAAAAAAATGTGCATCTTTCTTTCATTCTTGCTTGCTTCCTTCTTTTTTTTTTTTGAGACAGGGTCTTACTGTGTATCCCTGGCTGACCTGGACCTCAGTATATAAACCAGGCTGTTCTCAAATTCACAGACATCTGCTGCTTCTGCCTCCAAGCCCTGGGATTAAAGGTATGTACCACCACACCGGGCTAAATGTGCACCTCCCTGCTTCTATATCCATTAATTTACTGAATCAAGTA